AGCATCACACATCGCTGAATATGCTGTATTGCTTCTAGAGGCAATTATATTCCATATTGAAGGTACTTTTACTATAGCAAACTGACATCTTCGATTTGTTCATTTTAGTCATGTGCTAATTTCTATATTACCATAATTGCCTGGTAATTTCTTTTTATGTTATTTGATACCTTACTATGTGTTGTATATTGTGGGAAAGTTTCATAAAATTCTACATGTAACTTTTTCAGTAATCGGGATTTTTGTGATTTTTCCTTAATTTATGATAACCAGTGTAGATAAACTCCCGAGGCGGCTCTCTTGTTGTCCCTAGGAGCTGTTTCTCTGGATTGAAGAGGTCGTAGGACATACACCTGCTTAACCTATGCTAGACATCAGGTGTCCCCCGCCCTCCGTCAGCGTCACCGTCATTTTCACTCTTGCAACTGAAGAAGGAGGTTCTGTTTAAGTTTCGAAACTACAGGCCAGTAAAGTTTCTCATATATCTCCGATTATTGCTGCTAATTATTAGTACCTTTAACAACTTAAGTTTCAGATTCTTGAAAACATGAACTTAAATAGAAATTCACTTTCCTTTTCTCACAAAAGCCAGAAAACTGGGAATTTTAACTCAACATGAAAGGCTAAATCATTTAAGATTAAAATTTAGTTTCTATGAGTGTTTTTTTATTGATTGCTTTATTACTGAATTAACCTTGTATACGTAACGTTTTCACTATCTTTCAGCTAAAACTATCATCTAAATTTGAGGCATGAACTAGTTAATCTTCAGTTTTAGATAATACTACGAACAGTGAGGAAAAGTTTCATGTTTCTATTTCTATTGCAGGCATAATAAACGAATTCAATAATGTATGAAATTTCATCAAAATGCAAGATTGTGATAGAGAAATAATAATTTCGTTTTGTAATTTAATTTTTTTTCAGTATATAACAAATTGTTTTTAAAGTATGGCTTATTGCATTATTTGTTTGAAATTTGCAAAATTATGACGTAATTTGAAAAGGGAGGAATGTTTTTAAAGGGTTTATAGTATACAATTTCTGCTCAATGAAAGCTATATGATAAGATACAATTATACACAAAGAAGTAAAACCTTGTATACTTACCTAACACTTCTAAAACAGATGTATAACTACCAGTTCTTCCTCTAGAACTTACAATGCATGTATAATTTCCAGTATCATCTTCTGTCAATGGATCAATAACTAGATTAGAGAGATCAGAATACGATCGAATGTCGATATTGAGTCCTTTTAATAATTCTTTGCCATTCTTCATCCACCTGAATTCCATTTTTTCACCAGCTGCTGAAGTACATGTCACAATAACTCGTTTATTGATAATTGATTTAGATGGAAAGAAAAACGGTTGAATTTGAAGGGAATTGTCACCTGAAAGGAATTTATGTAAAATTTGGAGCAATAAGGAATCTGGTTTATTATAATATAAAATCTTTACTTTTAATACAATAATAAACAAAAGCTGGGTTTCAAATTACCGAACTGATATACGGATATGCCATAACAGCACATAAGAGGAGTGCCTTTAATTCTTTAGGAGAAAGTTTGGGTATGATAAATTTCCAAATATTTAAAAATAATTTCTTATTTCTTCTTAAAACGTATGGTCCTGAATATTTTCGACAAAAACCGATTCAAAAGTTTTAATTTCATCCCATATTTCTCTTTCATATTATTTTAAATATTATTCTATACTTTATTGCTTTTAAAGGCATAATGAGTACATACTAAAATCTTTAAGTGCTAAATCTACGATTCTTCTAAGAACATGCAACTGAAATGTTTTTGCATTAATATAATCAGTTTTAAATTTTAGTCTTAATTGCAGGCTATGTAACATAACTATATGTTCAGCATGCTAAAATAATAGCATTACCCTGTTAAATTAAAAATTACTAATTACGTTTAATGTTGTGCAGAGATATTAAGTCTTCAAGTAACTGCACTTAGCCTGGATATAGATCACAAAAATTCTATTTTGATATGTTAAATTTAAAATATTCTATTTTAATGAATATTAATTTTTTAAATATACCCACATTAATTCTTAACCGACGATAAATAATTATTATTCAGATTTCTGGCACCAGGTTTAATAGAAACTTGTTATTTAAGTATACACATTTAGTGTTGAAATCAGTAATACTGCAAAACCTATCTATCGCATTCTAGGTCTGGCGCCATGTATTCCCAAATATTGGACATTTGCAGCCCGAAATCGGTAGTGTGCAGAATGGGTAGAATATCAGAATCTCTTCTTAACTGTTAATATCTTCCTAATTCCAAAAGTTATATGAATGAAAGACGGGATTTTAAGCTTCCAGAATATGTTACTAAAAATCTAATTTTTATATATCTTAATTCCATTTTATGTAAAATGTTTTATTAATTAAAATATTTCTACAGAGCACATACTTTGGCATAAATTTAATTAACATTGACGTAAAGAAATAGCATTAGATATTAAAGATACGGAAACCTTACATTTATTATACAAAGTACGTCTTTCTACACAGCATTTAAATATTTTTTAAGGAATAAGCAATACAGACAACCTAAAGACTTGAAACATATTGCTGGAATATAACAGGACAGGACAGGAACAAGTACAGGGGGCACCACACCATCGCCATTGACAAAAAATGGTATAGCCCCCATGCACTACCTCTCTAGCGTACCGCCCCTTCCACAGGGGACCTGATTATAAATATAAAAACTGGAACAGATAAAAATTTATATTCTTATTTATACATTCGAACTGATCGAAATTCATGAATATTACGAACCATGGGAATGAGATTTTTGAATATCATGGCTACAAAAATAATACATGCAGAATATATTTGTCACATAAGCTAATTAATTAAATGCCAAATTAAATTAGAACTATTCCAGGGTCTGAAAAACGTTTACAAAAGTCTAATAACTAAGGATGGGGTGAAAGGTTTCCTGTTTTAAGTAAATTTATTATTTTATAAAGTTCATTTAACTGTGTTTTGAAACAGTAGCATAATACGTTGGAATACATAATGTTAGAAAAATGAAAACGTTGGTTTTATAATTATGTAAAATATGAGTTGAGTGAGTATCAGATTTTTAAATGCATATGTTAATAAAAGTTACAGTCGACTTAATTAATATTCTTAAAAATACATACATCCATACATAAAGTTTAAATTCATCATAAAGATATGGTATTAAAAGCAGCTTTAATATAAGAAGCAAATTATTATAATATTTATAAAATTAGAAAATTTAAATAATTGCAGAAAAAATCAAAAAGATTTATAATAACATAAGCGATTAAACGTGTCAGCGTTAAAAGAAAAGATATTGCATGTTATTCTTGTTGATAACATAAAAATATGATATATATCAATACAGTTAAAAACAGAATTCAATAAAGTTAGCATATTACTATAGTAGAAAAGAAATAACTTAAGTACTCACCTAGAACTGTATCCCAGATCATCAGCATCAGAATTTGATAGATGAACATTTTTGAAGAAGAATATGCGTTCAGCATATTTCTGTAATAAATCTTTGAACTTCAATAATTTTTTTAAAATGCTGAGGTTCTTGAAAAATTAGTTTTGCTGTTTTAAAATATAAGTTCGATAAATGCACTCATACGCTGTTTGGATTTGTAACCCAAAAGAAGTGTTCTGTTATACATATATAATGGCGTTCAAATAATATCAGGCTGAAGCTCTGAAAATGCATAGTAGCGCCCTCACTGTTCCATTTCATTAACTAAAATATATTTATCTGGAATAAAAGAATAAAAATATCTCCATAAAATAAAATGTGTTACAAAGAACTTTATTTTTTTCATGAAAATTTATTTTGTAGATTTATCATTTCCGTTGTATGAAATTTCATGAGTGGAAGATACGTAATTATTTAATATATGCCAGGATCACCTTTCCAAAGTACGGCATTCATTGGAAAGAGTATGCTTTGAATTCGCGCAGACATAATTCACTTCACATCGTTCCTAAGCACATGTGGTTTCAAAATATGTTTCTAAAATAACTTTTTGTTGGTTTTAATGACAAAATTTTGCATTGTACAAGTAAGATAAGCTAGAAAGATAAATTCATTTTTAGGTGAGTGAGTAAATAATTATTTATCCGAGATAATTTTGATGCTAAGGCATATCAGATACAAAATTTAATAGATGTATTTTTTAATTTAATATAATGATGTGTAAATATGAAATGATTAAATTTATTCAAATATTTTCTAGTGCCATTACCTTAAATTACATACAATTTTCACAGCTTAATTATTTAAAAGACACACGTTTATATTATTTCAATAGTATCCCCCTCAAAATGCACTTTGATATGAAAATGTGCTTCTTTGAGTCTCAAAAATCAGAATCAACTCTTTGTTGCCGTTCTGTTTGTAACTCTACTGTTTTGAAAAGACTAAAGTTTACAACATTTTTATTTTAAGCACTGCATAGTCCACTTCATTACACATATTCCTGCTTTATGGGTAAAACAAAAGAACATTATTTATTTAACAAAATGTTTCCAGAAGATAATACATACCCTGAGCATAATGAAATAGCTTTTTTCTTCACAAAAACAAGCATACTAAATCTAAACTTTTTATTATAAAGTAACTGATGCCAAATACATTTTTTTGTGGTATATTTTCGTAGCAAGTAAGGCATGCTTTTTATTTGAAAAATAAAGACATTAAGATGCGCTTGAAGTTTTCTCAAAATAATAAAGAATATTTAAATGTGGTTATGCTTGCGAAATTCGTTGAAAGTTACAAGGAACGAAGGTCGTAAAATGCATAACGAAAGGCAAGTAAGTTGTCCGGTACCATCTGGTGTAAAGACATATAATCAGTATAAACATTTCATTCACAAAATTTACAAACCTTTATTTGAAGACGATCACGAAAGCGAATTATTTACATCTCCTCAGATGATCACATAACGGTTTTCCAAACTTTCATAAAATCATAATAGGTAATAAACAAGTCTCGAATATTTTTCTAGTATACTTTCTCTACGGTGCCTCTCAAAAATTACTGTAAAATTTCTTCATCTCTCGATTAGTCACACAACTGTAACTAAAAACAAAAACATTATTCTAATATTTTTTAAACGAACGGAAAATAAATTAGACCAAAACGTAAGTGAAATATAATTAAAACTGCAAGATTATATTTAAACTCTTGCTGACATATTAGATAGGGAAATATAAAAATGTAGTTTCCAACATAAGTCATCACTTGCTAAAGAAATTGTATTTTATATATAATAAAAAATGTAGCACATTTTGAGATAATTATGAACTATACAATTTCATATTTATTTATTTGTAGCAAAACCCTCACACTTCAGAGCATCAAAATTCCTAATGGCGACGCTGTTTGCTAGGAAAAGCCTAATTATTGAAACAATCATAAATAAAAACTACATATTATGATACAGAAAGACGTTTATGAGTGGTAATAGTACATTCAATAATTAAATGTGTCTGAAATATTCAAAGTAACAAATGAAACAAAATACAGAATGAAATTATTCATCATATGTATTTGGTATTGGTATTGGTATTATTCAATTATGGCAAAGCACATGAAGGCTATCTGCCTCAAGGGAGGGATGCCTTCGTGGAGGACTTTCTAAGGGAAACTGGCTCGTATACACGTTACACATGGGGAAAACCACGAAAACGCCCATGCAGCCAGCCCGTCCGCGGGATTCGAACCTCGGACCGAACTACCAGTGTTCAGCGCCCTTACCGCTCGGCCGCTGGTGGGCCTCATATGTATTTGGAATTTATCACAGATATTAAGTTATGTATGAAATCTAAATTTTGTTTCCATTCATTAATTCTCCACTTTCTCATTACAGTAAAATAATTCATAATAATGATGACAGGAACTGCGGAAAAAGAATTTAGATGACATTTGCATCTAAACACTATATTTTTCCCTCGGTAAAAAATTAGCAAATTCTTCATGAATAGAAATATACGTTAGATATTTTGGATGATATTGCATACATAGGCGAGCTTTATAAGCGTTTTGAATGAAAGAAATATGCACGAGAAGAAGTTGTACAAAGCACAGATTTCAGTTGTTATGGTTATGTAAGTACATGAATTCCGAAATTAAATTCTTACTTTTCGAAAAAAAACCTATAGAGTTTATATGTAATATGCAGCACAAAATAACAAAGATAATGCCAAAATTCTAAAAACTGAAGCATCATTGAAACGAAGGTTATTGAAATAAATAGAAAAAAAATCTGAAAGTTTTCAGATTTTATATTACGCTCAAAGGAGCTTTTTTTAGCGTTTTGTGAGTTACCTTTATTTATTAAATATCATGTTCTTCGCACTTAAACCATAAAATTTAATTCACAGCAATATCGCAAAATAATTTTAAAAGAGCATATCTTTAGAATTTCCGATACACAGATCGCGCGCTAGAGATAAATGCCCCCCGTTCCGCACAGTGTTGCTATTGCTCATTTACAAATCGTTGAGTTTCATAATCAAAAACTCGTAAATGCTTTAAAAATATGAAATAGATAATAAAACAAATTCCAAATTTGGGCTTCCAGATGCCCATATTCAGGTGGAGATGTACGTTATTCAAAATTTGATGGTTCTAGGTATGCTGTTTTATCACAATGCGAGAAATATACGTACATTTATGCAGATTCTTCATTATTTAATTTGTTTAAATATAAAACAGGGAGTTAATATTTAGTGGCAAAATTTGAAAAGTGGAACGCCGTTTCCAGTGAAACGTTACAAAATGCCAAAATGAAATTAATAGCTTTGGGCTAACGTCCTTTGGATTAATTATACATTTTAAAGTCTTAAAGCAGTTTTAAGGTAAATGGTAGAGACCTTAAGCAGTTTAAGGCCTCTACGATGTTTTGATGTTAAAAGTAATGAATTTATAATGTTAGAGACATAAAAATACAAAATCTTTTGTAAATAAAAAATGAATAATAACAGTTTGCAAAATCACTGAAACGACGAAAATGTATCATACAATCCGCAACACTGAAGACATTTAGCAAAATGATAAAGCATAGCAAAGTATGTTTCCTAAAACATTCTTTTTGGATAATCAAGAGACTCTGTTAGAATATTGTTTCATGGATCTAAAAGCTGTAGTCATAATACATGTCAAAATTCTTACTTCCAATAGTTTATTGTAATAGAAGAAATCCAAGCACATGCAAATAATGGTTCTGCATCAAACTTTAGGTACTTAATCGCAGGTAATTCAAACTAGTATTAAAACTTATGAATTTTACTTGCTTTTTCTTAACAAAGTTGAATAAGCAGAATTATGCTCATTAAGAAGGAAAAAATCAAATACCTGCCTTTAGGAACCTTATTTTAAAATTTTCTTTCAACAGTGAGAATGCAATCCCGTTACACTGACTTTCCTTTGCGTCTCCGAATAAGTACAAATAGTTTTACATGAACTGAATGGAATTACGAGAAAATAATAGCTAAACGAAAATATATTTTTGACGCTCAATGGAAAATTTTAAAACTACGCAGAGGAATCCGAACAGTTTATTACAAGGTAAATGTATATAATTAATTAAAAATTATTAAACGTGTACCAACAATAATATCATAATATCATTGAAATTCCAAGTGGAATTACTTTAAAATATTTCATGAAAACATTTTAAACTTCTATGCAATTCTGAAGAGTGCTACAAATCAGAATTAATTTGACTTATTCCCCAGTTTTATAAGTTTTACGAAGTTTGTAACATTTAAAAACTAGAAATTCTTCTCAAGAGGCCTTCGAAAAAAATAGCATATGTCCACATATAGTTTTGACCTTATATTATAATTCAATTCATACACTTGAAATACATTAAAAAAAGAAAATTTTAATACAATTTAAATGCGTAGAGGAATTAATTTCAGTTCGCTCAGAAGTTCTTTTTAAATAGTATGTTTTCGCAGCTTCCTTCATGTGTATGAATTTGGTTCCATTAAAGCTCTTAATGTAAAAAATACTTGTTAGTTATCCGGGTATATAAGCGCAAAAAAATGTAAGAAGAGCAGTCGATACAAAGAAACAGAGTTGAATCATAACGTATATTGAATTTCATAATTATATTTCAATTTGTCGTTTACATCAAGAATATAGGTTTGTTAAAAACATACCTATAACTTTAACAACGGTGGTTTTCAGTAACGGTACGCCTATTCCATTTGATACATTACACTTATACATTCCTTCGTCCTCTTTTTGAATAGAATTTATAAATAGGCTTCCATTTGGATGCACAGCATACTGAGTAAAACTGCTGATAGGTATAAATTCCATGTTTTCTCCTAAAACAGAAATATATTAGATTAATATCAGTATCATTATAGTAGAAAACAATCTATTAACATTCTGAATGTTTATAAAACATAAATAAATATTTAGTCAAGATAGTCTTTCATTTACATCAATGCAATATCTTCCAAAAATTAAGTGATGAGTTGAGCGGCAAACAACTCTTCAATATATAGAACAGAACAGCGTGAATTAAAAATTACATGTTAGTCAAAATTCAACTTTTGCTTGACGCTGGTTATATAGAAAAACTGTATATATTTCGACGGAGTTTCACACGAGTCTCTTTTTTGAAGGAATAAAATAATTTCTTAGAACAATATTCTTTCTTGGTACTCAGTAGTTTTATTAGAATTTAAAAACCAATTACATAAAATTCTATAAAAGTCAGGAAATATAGAATATTAGAAATATGAGATAAGTGTAGGAAAAAAATGTGTTAATATATTTCGTAGTGTTTATATAAATGTATACTGCGGAAAAAAAGGGGGACAGTTCTATATCTCCCGTTCTATTGGAGCGATTGACAAAATTCAAATTGATTTTTTCATGTTTCGAAAGCGCGACTTAGGATATGTATTAGGTTTATATATTGCGTTGTTCTAATATAGGTATTTTGGCACGAAATCCGACTTTTTCTGAAATGACACGCCAAGTTTTTTCCATATTTCGATTCTACGACTCAAATTATGCCAAACTACCAAGTTTTTCAAAAATCACACAAGTATTTTTTAAAAAATTAGCTCTCAAAAGTTTAGATCCTCAATGTTAGTTGAATTTGAAATATATTTATTATATCTCTTTTTTTTTATTAAACTTATTTGATTCTTCCTTTCACATTTCGAAATTTAGGTTCATTCCAAATTAAATTCTCCTATTTCTTATAATTTAATTTTAAAATTTGTATTTTCAAATAATTTTTATAAATTTTTGGAAAAACATTTTGAATTATAACCTATAAAATTTTGCTCTCATCTTAAAGTAGATGTATTTCTAAGCATACCTACAAAAAATTAGAGATTTTATTCAAAATTTCCTAAAGATATACGTGAATTTACATGTTGGTGCGTTTTGAAATTTGGCGTATATATTACAAGCGATAATAACGAAAATGCTTTTTGTTAAAATTATTTGAAAGTATGAACAATAACTTTTTTCTGCTCTTAAATTAAACCTTTATTTTCAATAGATACTTAATGATAAATGATACCAAGCAAAATGTCATATTTGCTAAGGGTAATCAAACTTCATTGAACAGATTTAAATTTCAGATTTGCACCTCGATAGCCATTACTAAATATGTACATATATGACGGAAAATAAGTATACCGCACTGATTGGTTGAATTTTGAAGAAAGGATGTGTTTTTGTAAATTTATAAAGACTCTGCATCATGGGCGTACTTGGAACACCATTCAACCGAAATTTCGCTCGAGAAGTTGGTGATAGGCGATAGATCCCTCGTCTGGGGTGTTCATCAAAGTGTGAGTGGAACTGGGCAAACTCTGACTGCTGTTACCTATAACAAGGGCTTGGTCAACTCCAGGTCTTATTCTATCTTTCATAGTCATGATAAGTTTATGAACTTTATAAGGTATTTCTTCCGCTTTCTTGGCGTGCCTTCGTGGTGTAGTGGTTCTGCATGATGGGTCGGTATTCCAGAGGTCTGTGGTTCGATTCCGGGAGAAGACGATTGTTCATTTTTCATCTTGCCTGATTCCAAAAAATTCCTAATATCTTTACAGTGGCGCCCGAACTAAAAGGGTGTTGGATGAGGATTCTTCACACCCAGGATTTGGCGATTGGGTCCCTTAAAAACACCAGTCGCTCTTTAAAAAGAGGAATATGGAATATATATAAGGTATTTCTCCCGCTTTCTTGGCGTGCCTTCGTGGTTCTGCACGCTTGGCCGGTATTCCAGAGGTACGTGGTTCGATTCCCGGCGAAGGCAATTGCTCATTTTTCATCTTGCCTGCTTCTAAAAAAATCCTAATGTCTCTACAACTTGATCTGGATTATGTTCATATCAGGAACAGTAATAACAACAGAGGTAAATGTAATATTAAATGTTTCAAAGAGGAATTAAAAGTAAATTCTTGCGTAAAGGGAAACATAAGAAATAATCTTCCTAAAACATTGAGAATTTCACAATAAAATGGAACGAACTGTAGCTATTTTCGAAAGAGCAAAATATGCAAAAAACATAATTTGAAGAACATAATGTGTTATTTTAAGATTTGGGAACGATTTTAGACCTAATGCAGTTCTTGAATCGCAGACATATAAACCTTAGTTGTATAAATAAATGGCTTAAGTACAGAGAACGCGTAAGCTCTCAGTTCGTCATCACAGGAATCGCATTTTTGTGCTATTTGTATAGTAGCTAGACGGAAATATCTGGCCAAGTCCATTCTAATTTTGTAGTGATATTAAAAAAAAATAGTTATTGATTTAAAGAGCAAATACGCTGTGATAGTAAAACGTATTACAGCAATTTATTATCGATATAATATTACATTCACTTAATAATGTGTAATGCTTCCTTGGAGTTTTTATTTCAAAGGTCTTGCACTATTCAATTGTATTAAGATCTTAGAAATTGTGATAAAGCATTTATAATAATGACTTGTTATTATTATGATGTTATTTTACAAATTAAATAGCACACTGAAAAAAGAATTTAATGTTTGAAAATAAAATCGATAAGCTGTTGCCCTAAAATATACTAATCTTCTAAAACAAAATTCGTCTCACCTTGTGTTCTGGACCACGTAACTGTAGGATTTGGTCTGCCAATACCTTTGCAGTTCATGATAACAGAATCACCACTAAGAGCATCAACATCGTAGGGAGTATGGCTCCAGGATGGTGGAACTAGAAGCGTGCAGTTACAGAAAACTTTGAGTATAGAGAAAAATATTAACTAAATTGCACATAATTTTATTTAGAACGAGGAAATGTTTCATTATAATGCTACAAGAGAAAATTATACAGTACTATCTTATAACGGAAAACTTTAAATGATTCAAGACGAATATGAATTATTAAAAAGAAATAAAAGATATAATTTCTTAAATATTTCTATAGGGTTTTCATCTACATATCTACAGGCCAAAAATTATAATCTTTCCAATAAATATGAATAATTACTTAACTGAAACATTTGCGAGAAAACACTTAGTTTTAAGCTAAATAATCAATTTGTAAACTTAAGTTTCTAATTATTTGGATGGCAAAATATTTTGTGCTCATGAAAGTAGTTTTACTTTCTATTGAGCAAATTTTGTCTTGTATTTTAGCGTTATTTTTTCAAAACTTGTTAATCTAATCATTTGTATGGTGAAATAGTTCTCGTGAAAGTAATTTTACTTGCATTGAGCAAATGTATCAATTTAAGGGTTAAAAGTCCGATAAAATGTATTTCAGATTAAAGATGTTATCTAAGTGGTAATATTTAAGAATCAGTGCATTACTGGTTTTCCAGAATTAGCAACTGAAATTTAATTAACAGTAACAAATTTCGACAAAAATATGGTCGGTTGAAACTTAGGACTGTAAGAACAATGAACGGGTTTACCAATTACTGTGAAAAGCAACCTGATACGTCTAAAACCTCATTATTTTATTAAAAATTCGGTAAATGATATATGACAATATGGTTTGGTTTGGCTTATTAGATTACGGCAAAGCACTCGAGAGCTATTTGCCTTAAGGGAGGGATGCCTTCGTGGAGGACTTTTTAAGGGAAGCTGGCTCGTATAGATGTTACACATGGGGAAAACCACAAAAACACCCATGCAGCCAGCCCGTTTGCGGGATTCGAACCTCGAACCGAACTACCAGTGTTCAGCGACGTTACCGCTCGGCCGCTGATGGGCTATATATGACAATATGATGCATATCTATGATATAAAGTCTGTCACTAGTGTCCTAGAACATCTCTCCTAAATTCAAAATCTAGTATAAATTTTACCTGCAATGAATTGTTTTCCTTAGTGCAATAATAGTGTTGCAAACTGATACAACAACATTTAATACTTCCAACACTTAATTCTGAAAATGTTAATTTATGCATTTTACATTAAAGTTTGAGCTTTACGAAGTAACAAATCAAAGTAGAGTTGAAAGTAAACGAAGCTAACAATGCCTTGAAATATCCTATTTGCAAACTCATCGAAAGATGAACTATTTATTATGATATTATGCAATATCTTTTTGATATTCACCTCAAGATTTGGATAACGAAGAATATAGAATGTTTAATAAACCAAGTAAAACTACAATTACGAAGGAAGACGTGGAATTAATTGAACATGTAGTCTATTAGAATAAACATATATAAGCTGAAATATGAGAAATAAATATGTGATACAGATTCCAAAACTTCTCTAGGTTCAGCTCCATCAACATCTACTGCTAAATTAACGATGAATAAAAAACTTCAGTTGAAATAAAAACCAAAACCCATGAGGAAACAGTTGTATCCCATGAGAAAACAGTTAAGAGAAAAAAGTAAGTAAACGAATAAAACAATATATGAAATTGGTTAAAAAAGAATTGGATTATCTTTAACAGGAAAATATATTCAAATGGCATATTTTCTAACGGCTTCGAGGACATTAAGAGCGGTACCTGAGAGATCATTCTGAGCGGCTGGAATATTTTTCCCCAAAATAGTGATTTTTCAGTTAGAAGATCACAGTTTGGATAAATTATGTTTTTTGTACGACTACATTAAAAAAAAAAAGATTTATAAATGAAAAAAATATTTAATTATGCATGTTAAGCGAAGAAGTTTTTTAGTAAAGATCTATGTTAAGTATACATAAATAATTTATTAACATAGCACAAATTATTCCGAATTTCTTTTTATATATATGCTTTATAATTCATACTTTGTATTCAAAATGTAATTTAATTTCATACATGTTTTCGTACTACTTGGTTACCTTTAAATAAAAATGTCTAGTCTTCTGTTACTTATTATTATATTTTCAATACATTTCTTGGAAAGGAAAAATACCAGTATATCAATTTCACCTGGAAATTTAACCAAGTTACACGAAATAAGAAAGATCAGTGAATTTAGTGTCTTCAGTCGAAATCAGGCTTCACAAAAAGGAGTCTACGTGCAATGAAAGAATTGCATAGATGTTTAACGAATGATAGTATTCTTATATAAAGGCTCTGTATAGCAATATAAAAGAATTATGCACATACGGGAGCGTTAATTAGTCAGATTGATTATTTACTCAAATATTAATATATGTACATACAGATACATATTTTCTGTCATGAATAGTATTAATAGCTTTCGATTCCTGTTACGAATAATATTATTAGCTTTCAAATGACTTTGGTTAATAAAAGAATTACTATTATAAGAACTCTGAAAATATTCTGAAAGTATGTAAAATGTTTGAATTACATATTAATGAGCAAACACATTTTTTGTTAAATTTATTATTTTAAATCTGAATTTTTTTCTTTATTCGTGCATAACGCTTTATGCAGATAAATATCTCTCATATCCTAAAAGTATTAATGACCAACGTTACAGCTTCTTCTACATAAAATTGGATGGGTAGGTTTCGTACACGTCCCGATTTATTCCAGTTACCTAAGATAAGAGCGTAGGGATAAAAAATTTTAAATTTATTACTTCACACTAAAATGAAAATTAGAAATATACATTATAAAAGAGATTATGCACACCCTATGTTATGTTGTATTTTTTTGTGATTCTTCGATTAACTATGTAATTGGGAAAACGATAACATATTTGAAGTACTTACCTAAAACTTCTAAATTTGCCGTATAACTCCCAGTTTTTCCTCTAGCATTGACGATGCATGTGTAATTTCCAGTGTCTTCTTCTGTTAGTGGATCTATGACAAGAGTTGTCAGGTCACTGTATGTTCGAATATCAATATTTAGTCCTTTTAATAATGCTTTACCATTTTTCAGCCACTTGAATTCCATTTTTTCCCCAGCTGCTGGAGTACATGCTACACTAACTCGTTTACCGATAATAGACTTAGGTGGAAAGAAGAAGGGCTGAACTTGTAGTGAACCGTCGCCTGTAAGAAATTCGAATTTAAAACAACACAATAGCAAGATGAATTTTTAAATTAAAAAAATACTCTATTTCTTATACTTTATTTCGATATGCAAGTAAAAAGACAAATATATTTTATAATCATTGAAAGTATTTTATAGGTATGCCAATGAAGACATAAACACAAGGCAAACCAAAACTTTTTAAATAGATTTTTAATTTATTGTCTATAACTGAATATGCTACTTTTTGTTTTTGATGAAACTGGATTGGATTGAGTTTCAAATTAGCAAACGCACATGAATGTTGCCTACCTAAGCTCCGTTCGATGTTTAACTCACAGCGTGAATAAAATGGATAGAATCCAAAGACTTCTCTACTCTCGATAGTACTTTCGAGTCGAAGGATTTTAAGTGCTTTCTTTCCGCAAAGATACTGTAATATTAGAATATTACATTTTATAAGATATTTATTCTTGTATACGTCTGTAATGAAGTTTTAAAGAACTCTCGCCATTTTTGAATGAACAAAAAACTTTATTAGTCAAAACTTACAGAATAACTGAAAAAACATTTTTAAGCGCGCGCATCGTCTGCGGATATTCTTTGAGGATAATTGTCTGCGGTAATTTACATTTCTAAGTGGAATTATGGTGGTAGCGTAGCAACGCAAATACGTTACAATACTAAAATCATAAACGTCCATGCATTTTCCCAGATTTCGAGGGCTGAGCTATGGCATGAACTGTCAGCCTCCACCGGATACCATACCTTTCAGAACTGCAATTCACAACCTAATTAAGCCATAAGGCCATTTGTAGTCAGGTGGGTTGGCTGCTCCCCACAAGCAAACAAACAAACCCTCCAGAACGGCAAAACCTTACTGAAAGCTAACAATTATAATTAATAATGTTTTTTTTAATTTTCTTTATTTCTGAGACATGTAAATTTTACCAATATAGCAGTTATTCTTTAAGTTATTTCAAGCAAGCCTTCCGCTTCTTGATAAGTAGTGTCGCTTTCTCAGGGGTATACTATCAAATAATTTTAATTAAAATCATCATTCGTTTATTTTTACATTATTGACTAAATAAACGTGAGAATAATTTTTGCAAGAATTTTTAAAATTTCTTTCCAAATTCCGCTACTGATAAGCTTAAACGGAACATTTTTATCAAAACTGCAACAATTATTATAATCCTATATAAGATTCTAAGAAGTTATGTTTTTATTTTTTATGTTATCCTATTTGGATTTTGTAGACAAAAAGAGTTTACTTTAGAAGTAGATATAAACTCGCTAATGAAAAGAAGAGTTTAATACTGGATATAAATAAGGTGCGTTAAATGTAAGAACTGATTGAATCTGATTATTGCTATTTGGCAGTCAGACGTAAAATTATTTAAAACAATCATATCCAAATCATGTAGATCTGTTTTATTAAAGCTTTATGTTAATTTGAATATTCAACCCAAAAAGCATCTGTTAAATTCCTTTTAGTTCTTATGTTCCCGTTATCTGTTGTAACCCTGTAATAAAACCTTTAATAATTTCTAGATATAGGTCTTCGACTAAACACGTGGTTTTTGATCACAAACTGTTAGTTAAGTTTATAAGATATATAATATATTTTGTCTTTATAAAAAATAATAGTTTATTATAATAATATTGATTCACATTTGAACGTCTGTAATTTGTACAATGATTGTTGAAAAAAACTGGAATCAATACAGCTTTAAAAAATGCAAAGAACTCATGCCTACATTAAAATGTTTCCTATGCAAAATAAAGTTTCATTGGACAAATAAGAATCGCATTTCATATTTGTTGTACTCACACTATGGAGCTATGTAAAGGTAGTATAAGCGTTATATGCTAAAATGAGCTCAAGTTAAAAAATAAAGGCGTTAAATTCATCTCATTGCTATAACATGGCTAGCGCAATCTTAGTCACCGCCTTGCTTTCATTTTATATTATGATAAATAATTCAACCAGAAATGAAGCAACTAATTTTTAAGAACGAATGAAAAATGACATTTTATAATTTAGTACATTTATATTTGGATTTTTTCTCTACCAACACTGGTATCATTTTAAAAATGAAAACTGTAAAGTACAAATTTTGGGGTTACCTTAGTTAGGATTACAGGAGTTTAACAGTAAAATATAAATTTTCTAGTTTTGTGTACAGTCCATTACTTAATGACTAACACAGCTCAAAATGTTTACACAATTTAATATTTTTCTTCACAAAATGCAATGAACTGGGAAGTAAATTCTAAAATGAAATAAATTATTTGAAATTATAATTAAAATTACATCAGCTATCTAATATGAAATCAATTAAATTTAATATGGAAGCAATTAATAATCTTTAAACACAAATAAGTTTACTAGAACTATTAGTAAGTATCAAAGTGTTAATCAGTAGAATTAGAAATATTTTTTCAATACAAATTAAAAAAATAAGTACTCACCTACAACGGTATCCCACATTATAACCATCAGCATCTGAATGATAAATATTTTTGAGAAAGGATATTCGTTCAACATAGCTGCTAGTATTTAGTACAATGTAAGTTTTTTTAATCTTCAATAAATTCTGTAGAGAGCTACGATCTCTGAATATATATTTTTCTGCAATAAAATGTTCTGAAGATTAAACCACATATTCTCCTATAACTGTAAATTCAGCAGAAAAGTTGTATTACTGTACATGCATAATGGCGTTCAGACCATATCCAGATGAAGCTCCAAGAATGAATAGTAGCGCCCTCACTCTTTCATTTTATAAACTAAAATGTATTTAAATAGAATAGAAAGATAATTAATGATGTTAACTATTTTATGGCATACAATTTCCAAATAATAAAAGCATATTTTATTTTGTAATTAGTTTATAATCTAAAACTTTTCTCTATATAGGCGATTGTATAATTGTTCAATGTATGATACTGTAATCTGCGATCTTCAGAACAAATAAATTTCATATATTTTTCTTTCAGCATTTCCCAAATATTACTTTAACAGTACAAATCCAAATTTCGTATTAAAATTGCATCTTGTTCTGAAATGGACTTTTTATAGACTTAATTTTCTTGCAAAGATTGATAAAAGGAATAGATAATGTTCTGGTTACTGTGTTTAATAGTTATAGTTTTAGGTACCTTTCTATTATGCACCTGCCACACTTTTTGGCGTCTGTGAAAGAGCAGCCAAACATGCGCCAAAGACCAAATGATAGTGCTATTTGGTTATCGTTGTGAGTATGTTTCTGTATCTATAAACTGTTCTTATAATTATATATTGTTCATAATTAAAAAAATACTCGCCGAATTCGTGACAGGTGCATAACAGAAAAGTATCATCTTTTTAAATATACCGAATATTTTTCTTCTGTGATTTCCACACTTGTATGTACTTTTCTCCGCTGTACAATATATAATAATGAAACTTTTGATGCTAATAAAGAATTGTAAATATAAACAAATGTATGGGGGACAAAATTCAGTAGAAAAGATGAGCAGAACGTCTAAATTTAATATCGTATACAGTAATTTACATACCTAAGACAGACATAGTTTGCAAATTTAATACCTTTTGCTCTATTAGTAACATCTTTCTATCATGTAAATAATCGCTTACACATCGTTCTATACATCATTCTGAAAATGTATGACAGTACATATCATACGTTTTCAGAACAGTGTACAGACATACAACGGATATGAATTCTTCGCTTAGGATATAGATTAAACTTCTGAATATCAACAAATGTAAAAATGTAGACATTGATGACAAAAAAAGTTCAACTTAGCATAATTGGAATTATTAAGTGATTAATTTTTTAGAAAATCAATTGATTTTTAGAGAAAATGTACCTGAAATAATGAAAGCTTTCGAACGAAGGTAAAGTAATTAAACAGCGATTTCTGATAACGTTTCATAAACTTCATTTGCATATAAATAATAATGTAAGAAAAATTTTGCATATGTGAAAAAACATCGACATTATTTATTTGCGTTTCTCTGAACATGAAGAAAGTGACTTCTTCCAATTTTCTCGACGAACTGTACAATGTTTTATAAAAAACAATTCAGATAATGGTCACTGAAATGTTTAGATAAATCATATACAGAATTTTTTTATACCTCATTTTGTATTATATCATTACATTCATAACATTTTTGCTCCGATTAGATTTTAGCAAATTACGTACCCCCCCCCCCCCCCCCCCCAAAAAAAAAAAATTCAACAGTTTTGACAGAATCTGAGAATACACTTATCGAAAAATTTAGCCTGAGAAAGAAACGGCACATACTTAATTTTATTACAAACGGTGAAAGGAAAACAAATGCAGCAATTAAAATCTTTGAGAATACATTTTCTGTAAACAAGATAAATATATATATATAACTCAAAGCTTTCAGATTTTATATTACGCCCAAAAGGGGCGTTTTTAACGTTTTGTTTGTTACCTTTATTTATTAAATATCATGTTCTTCGTACATAAACCATAAAATTTAGTTCGACAGCAATATCAAAAAATAATTTTAAAAAAGCATATCTTAAGAATTTTCGATACACAGTCTTGCGCGCTGAAGATAAAAATGGTTTTTATTTTTCCGTACATTGCTCGCTTTGCCATTGCTCGCTTTGAAGTCGTTGAGTTTTTTTTTTGCATATTCGTTAAAGGTTTACAAAATATGAAATAGATAATAAAACAAATTCCAAATTTTGGCTTCCAGATGTCCATATTTTCGAGTAGAGGACTACTTTGATTCAAAATGTTTTGATGTCTCTGGGTACCGTTGTTTTTTTCACAGTACGAGAAACATACAAACATGCAAGATTCTTTCATTATTTAACTTCTTTAAATATAATGCAGGGCTCTAATATTTGGTGGCAACAATCTGAAAAGTGAAACACCGTTTATAGTGAACCAAAGCGAAATAAATAGCCTTTCTGGGAAAATTACCCCTTGCGTTAAAAAGACAATTTTTAAAAGCTGAAATTTAATAAAATGTGGCAAAATATAATGTTGAGTAATAAGACATGATATTAATCGCATAAGAATGGTGAAAGCAAATTTATATTCCATTCTGAATAACAGTTTTTCTACAGCAAATAATTTTCTCAGAGCATTGGATCAGTTAGATTTGTAGATGATAATTATTGCATACTTCTTGATGCTAGTTAGCTAAAAGTATCGTAAATTTTTACCAACCCGAGAATATGAGGATGATAACAATCCATGCGTTGACAATAATACAGCAACAGAATAAAAGTACAACAATAGTATTATTATTGAGTGCAAGTATAACATCCATAGTTAAATAAGCTGGAGCAATATTGTACATCGATCCTCTTTGAAAGAAATAATAACAATAATTGATACATCGTATTTTAAAGTTCACCAGTGGATACCAAAGCTTCTCGCCGTGTTTATATTAAGATTTATTTCAAGTAAATATTATTAAAAATTTAAAAAACCCTGTACCAGAAGAAATATATCTTCAATTTTTAAAACAAAGATTGCTTTCATAACATACCTAATAATGATTAGTAACTGCATACTATTATCTTCATTCTTAAATGGATGTATTGAAAAATGCACTGTGAAGAATTAAACTTGGATGAAATATTTGCAAACAAAAGCGAGTAAAAGTGTGAATTTAGATCATGCACATTAGTAATACTTAGCGTGCACTAATGAGTAAATTTTTCAAATCCAACATATAAAAATATCGAATAATATACGTTTACATATCTACAAGTCATAACACAGTCTACGATAAATTGTTTGAATCACAGCGTGTATGCAACATGTAAGTAAATTTCAGTTTATACAAGAATGTACAGCTGAACATTAAACTTAACAGATTGAAGATAATTAGCGAAAATTCAAAATCAATGCGATCAGTGCAAAAAATATCCAACAGGAAATAATATATATTTATTACTTTATTCTGACGTACCTATTACTTTTACAGCAATTGTTTTGAAAAGTGGGGAACCTATACCATTGGATATATTGCATTTGTACATTCCTTCATCTTCTTTCTGAATGGAGCTTAAGTGCAGACTTCCATTTGATTGAATAGTAAGATGATTTACAGACAGTGGCATAAAATCCAAGCTTTCACCTAAAATATAAAAGAATCACAAGAATGTAATACACTTCGTTCTACCGAGGCTTTGACAAAATTAAATAATTTGCTTAGAAATGGAAATAATAAAATTAATAATTAAAACAGTTATTAAAAATATTTATTTATAATTATCTAATTTAAGAAAACTAGCAACCTTGATGGCCTATAGTTACACTACTCAAATAAAAGGAATGATTTCATAACACATTTTACCACAGTTTATTTCAACTAAAAAAAGTCGATGATAACTTTAAGCAGAACATATACCTGTTCAAAACATATCACTTCTCCCCGTTTTGACTTAAAAAACCAACCAATGTTTCAGCTTAGCAGCTTAATAGCTTTAAGTTGATATATGTTTTGCTTTAAAGCTATTTTAATAGAGCAAAGATGTCCAGCAACTGCAAATTATTGTTCCTTATTTATTCTGTTGCTTTTTTGTGTTCTTTTTGTTTATTTGAAGGATATTCACACAATCAACTCACATTTCTTCACTTACTAACGTGGCCTGGATTTTTAGAAAAAAGGTTTATTTTGTGAAATCCGACATTAAATGCATTTCAACAATATTTTTCTCAAAAAATGCAGGATCAATCTAAACGTATGTTTGTTATATGTAAAAACGTTAGAATTCTAAGTTCATAATGTTTCTTCTACTTGCTTAAAAATTCAGTCCTAACTTTAAATAATCTGATGTGTACACCATATGAATACCTTATACGGAATATTAAATTATATTCATTTTATCGTGCATTTCATTTAAACTTATTTACTCGAAATTCAATATAGATATATTTCTCATTCAATTAATTCAGTTCTCACATCGCGGCAAGGCAAGAATACATAAAATCACAAAATATCTTTATAAAAAATTGAAAAAAAATAGAAAAATATAAAGCACCAAATATAATTAAAACAAATAAAATTAGAATTTCTACGCAAAAACAGGCAATGCGGCCAACAATTTAATTGTTGATAATTCTACAATTACTGCATGCAGATTTACTAACGACATAATAACCTTAACCGGAAGATAAGAATAACATAATTCAATCATTTTTAAAGCAAAAAATTTACAGTTTACCAACATACAAGAATAAAAAACCTGAGCTCACTGAGCCGAGTAACAGAGCGGATACTTTTGGTGCAGCCGATTGCAACCAAAACAGGAGGTGTACAACTACATATTATAGCAGTCCCAGATACAAAATTTCAACGTTCTAAGGCTACTCGTTTTGGAGCGAAATACATACATACATACGTATGTACGTAGTGATGCCACAAAAAATCTCTTCTCAATCCATTTTAAATCAGTTTTATAATACGTTCGCGGAAAAAGAGTTCTTTATTCTGTCCGTACGTACAGATGTCACGCAAAAACATCGCTAAATTGCCTTCGATAGCGGTCAAAATGGATATTTTCGTTGAAATATTATACCCGAAATTTTTCGTGATACAATGCTTCCTTTACTTCGTACAAGGAAGTAATAATGAAAAATTAGTTTATACAGTGATCAAGCAAATTAAAATTCAATAGCTTAAGATTATTATCATTCTTCTCAGGTTTACTATGTAAGGTTTATTATCAACTAATCAAGTTACCTTAATATTTGTATGATTGTTGACAAATCGGTCGTAGCCAGTAAGCCGACAACCACTTAGCCGACAAGGCACTTAACCTATAGGACATTTAGCCGACACGGACACTTAGCCGACAAGAACATCTAGCCGACAGGACATTTAGCTGACAAGGACACTTAGCCGACAGGACATTTAGCCGACAATGAGTCTTGCTCTTCCCAATGCTTTCAGGTTTCTAATACTTTCAAATTTCATTCCGACTTTGCTCAACAAATCATACTACATTAATATCCGTATAAAGTCGTTTCGCTTCTTCCACTAATGAAATTACCTTTCCCTGTCAGGAAGTAGTGTGATTCGCCCTACTCCTTGCCGCACTGGAACTACTTTTTTTCTGAAATGCTATTTACACCCTCAGAATGCTATTTATACGTTAGGCATCGTATATTTATTAATCTAAGATAGGTCTCCGGCCCAGGAATTCGTGCCTGCGACCACCTAACAGAAGCACGTTGAGTTTTGTTTGGTTTATGTAATTACGGCAAAGCCAGAGGGCTATCTGCCTAAGGGAAGGGATAAGTTAGTGGATGATTTTCTAAGGAAAACTGGCTCGTATACACGTTACACATGGGGACATGGGGAAAACCACGAAAACACCCACGCAGCCAGTCCGTTCGTTCGATTGGAAATTCGAACCGAACTACCAGTGCTCGGTGACTTCACGCTCAGCCGCTGCTGAGCCGAACAGAAAGAGAGTGACCATTTTACTTAATATATAACCAGTCTCTTTTAATGAAAATCGCATTTTTAGGCTAGACCTTTATAAATTCATTGTTAGGAATTGAGAAGAATGTTCCAAATTTGAATACTGAAATATTGTTCAGAATTGTTCAGCTGTTTCAAAATGGCGAAAAGTGTTAAGTAAAAATGTTTACAAAGACGGGTCCAATACCGATTATAACTGATGTATCGCATTAGCGCGACGTTATCAGGTCTGTTGAAATACAGCCGTAACCCTCATATGATTATATGGCATATTGGTAAAACCTGGATTCCGAAAGACGGAAGCGATGCAGAGGTGACCCAAAACAGGTCAGGTACCGTGACATTAGTTGCTTTAGTTTGCTGCTTTGCAACATAGGCTGTCATTCTCTTTAATGCCAGTTCTGTCTTCGTTTCCTTTATTTCTTAGTCATTTGCTGTCTTTCTGTTTCTGTTTTGGTAACTTGTCATTCTGCTTTAATAGTCTGCTTCGTTTTCTTTACTTCTTTAGTCTTTTTGCTGTAGTTTGATGCTTTGCAGTATAGACTGTGTCTCTGTTGTGTTTCCTTTATTTTTTAGTCATTTTGCTTTAGTTTGCTGCTTGCAACATAGCTGTCATTCTGTTTAATAAGTCTGCTTCGTTTCCTTTACTCTTTATCATTTTGCTGTAGTTTGATGCTTTGCAGTATAGACTGTCATTCTGTTGTTGTTTCCTTTATTTCTTAGTCATTTTGCTTTAGTTTGCTGCTTTGCAACATAGGCTGTCATTCTGCTTTAATAAGTCTGCTTCGTTTTCCTTTACTTCTTTAGTCATTTTGCTGTAGTTTGATGCTTTGCAGTATAGACTGTCATTCTGTTGTTGTTTCCTTTATTTCTTAGTCATTTTGCTTTAGTTTGCTGCTTTGCAACATAGGCTGTCATTCTGCTTTAATAAGTCTGCTTCGTTTTCCTTTACTTCTTTAGTCATTTTGCTGTAGTTGATGCTTTGCAGTATAGATGTCATTCTGGTTGTTTCCTTTTCTTTCTTAGTCATTTTGCTTTAGTTTGCTGCTTTGCAACATAGGCTGTCATCTGCTTAATAAGTCTGCTTCTTTTTTTAATCTTTAGTCATTTTGCTGTAGTTTGATGCTTTGCAGTAATGACTGTCATTTTGTTGTTTTTCTTGTCTTAGTTTTGCTTTCAGTTTCTGCTTTATCTGTTTTGTTTCCTTTGATTCTAGTCATTTTGCTTTAGTTTGCTGCTTTGCAACATAGGCTGTCATTCTGCTTTAATAAGTCTGCTTCGTTTTCCTTTACTTCTTTAGTCATTTTGCTGTATAGTTTTGCTTTTGCAGACTTTCTGTTGTTGTTTCCTTTATTTCTTAGTCATTTTGCTTTAGTTTGCTGCTTTGCAACATAGGCTGTCATTCTGCTTTAATAAGTCTGCTTTGTTTTCCTTTACTTCCTTAGTCATTCTGTTTAAGTTTACTGCTTTGGTTAGTCTATTTTGTTTTCCTTTACTTACTTAATCATTTTGCTTTCGCTTGCTGCTTCGCAGCAAAGGCCATCATTCTGCTTTAGATAGTCTGCTTAGTTAAGCTGCTTTAGATAACATAGACGTCATTCTGCTTTCGTTTCCCTACTATTAAACCTATCAGCTTATGTTTCTGCTATCTGCTACGGCTGTGCGAACATTTAGCCATTAGCCGAGGTTTAGTTCGGCGTGCTGCTTTTGTATTTTGTATGCGTACTTTAAACGTATTGGTACGTATGGTAACTTGATTAGTTTCCTTATTGTTAATTTTGGAATGGATGATCGCAAGTTAGTGAAGTTCTCTTCCTGTTAATCATTAGCTTATGTAACCGTCAGGTCTGCATGCTGATAATTTAATTTAATTTACACCTGTACACTGCGGAAAAAAAAGGCACAGTTCTATCTCTCCCGTTCTACTAGGCCGATTGACAAAATTCAAACTGCGTTTTTCCTGTCTCGAAAGCGCGACTTAGGTTATAGTTATATTAGAGTTATACATAGCATTGTTCTAATACAGGTATTTAGACACAAAAACTGATCTTTTCTGAAATCACATGCCAATTGTTTTCCATATTTTGATTCTACGACTCCAGTTATGCCAAACTGCCAAGTTTTGTAAAAATCGCACGAATAGTTTTTAAAGAATTAGCTCTCAGAACTTTAGGTCCTCATATTTTAATTGAATTTGATATATATTTATTAATATTTCTTTTTTTTTTTACTAAACTTACTTGATTCTTCCTTTCATATTTCCAAATTTAGGTTCATTCTAAACAAAAATCACCTATTTTTGAGATTTATTTTTGAAATTTGTATTTTTAAATAATTTTTATAAATTTTTCGAAAAACATTTTTGAATTATAACCTATATAAAAGTTTAACCAACTGGCAATTCAAATTTCAAAATGCGCCAATATATAAATTCACGTATATCTTCGAAACTTTTGAATAAAAAGCTCTACGTTTTTGCAGGTATGCTTAAAAATACATCTACTTTAAGATGATTTTTGTAGGTTATAATTCAAAATTTTTTTCGAAAAATTTAGAAAAATTATTTAAAAATACAAAATTTAAAAATAAAATCTTAAAAAATGGGCGAATTTTATTTGGAATGAACCTAAATTTCTAACTGTGTAAGAAGGAAACAAATAAGTTTAATAAAAAAGAGATATTAATGAATACCATTGAGGAGCTAACATTTTGAGAGCTCATTTGTTTAAAAACTACTCGTGCGATTTTTACAAAACTTAGAAGTTTGGCGTAATTTGCGTCGTAGAATCGAAATATGGAAAAACATTGGCAGGACATTTCAGACAAAGTCCGATTTTGTGTAAATATACCTATGTTAGAACAGTGCTATCTATAAATCTAATACACATTCTAAGTCGCGCTTTTGAGAGATGAAAAACGCAATTTGAATTTTGTCAATCGACCCAGTAGAACGGAAGATATAGGAACTGTCCCATTTTTTTTGGCCAGTGTACTTGAGTTGTAATACTTTTACTTAGGCAGACGGCAAGAACACTTGTTTGCTAATCCCTATGGTTATTTGAGGGGATTCAGTATTTTGAATTGCCATTGTAACCATATAAATAAGATCTCCATTGTGCCAAAATGTTTAAAAAATTGTACTCATATAAATATTCGAAAACCTGCGGATTTGGATCTAATGTATGGAATTTTATTTAGTACAGTTTCTAATTTTGTAATGATGTTAATTTCTACATAAGATCTGGAATCATTTCGAAAATAACGAGTTGCCGTAGTCTTCTACAGCAATAAATGTAAACATTAAAAACCTTTTGCAACTGAAAAAAATGAAAAAAAGAAAAATATACACTTGTTGTAGGTGAAACGCTTTTTTCATTTAATGAGGAATTGTATGAGAAAATAGCTAATGTATTTATCTAATAATATATAACTATCACTTTTATTATTTATACGCAGATGCTAGTGCATGTAATATGCGATGATTTAATTACATTAATTTTTTAACATATGGGTAATGGTTTCACATTGGAATATTAAATACAACAATCTTACCGATAGTCTTCGACCATGCTACTGTAGGTTGTGGTCTACCTAATCCTTTGCAGTTTAAAGTTACTGAATTACCGCTCAATGCATCGATGTCATTTGGCATGGAAATCCAGGAAGGCGGCACTGATGGAAATAGAATTTTGACTAAATTAGATATGAAATTTGTTTGATAATCGTTGATATGTATTTAAAAATCAGAAATTTAAATCAACTAGCTAATTTATAAATAAATAATAACGTAAACGTACAGAAGGCAGACCTGATGTCCACTGCATCGAAAACATTAAGATTTTTTTAAGGTAAATTAATGACCGGATACTAAGCACACGAAATATGGGTAACATTCAAAGACTGAATTAAGGTAACTTTAATCTATTGGGATTTGGATTTACGAACTTATAATGACTTAGATCAGTTCTCAACCTTTTGACTAACGCGTACCATCTAAACAAAAATTGAAAACTTTTAGTACCACCACTACAAAGTACTACTACCACCACCACTCTTGAAAAAAGCTCAGATCACATAAATTGATGAGCGTTAGAGAAAAAACTCAATCAGGATATTGGAGTTTTAAATTTTGAATTTAATAGTTAAAAATACTTTGCTTCTTTGCTTCCGGTTGAGAACCCCTGACTTAGATTTTACTTTAAATATGAAACATCAGTAGGGGAAAATAAACACTGTCATTACATTTCGCTTTGGATATCTTAAATATATCCAAAGTTCATTTAAAAAGCCGAGAGCAGAATGGCTTCTGCAAGGCTTTAAAACATTTTCTAAGTCTTTAATGATATGCACAGTTATATTCAGATTTGTATCTCAAATGTTGTTCATATCTATCTTTTCACACATTTAAATTTATTATCCAGATATTCATAAAAAATTAATAACTTTCATGTTATTACCCGTTCGTAACATTATTATACTTTTAATACCGCTTTTAATTATACAGAAATAATTTATAAGATATTTTCTCCCTCCTGCCAGAATGCGTTTGTGGTGTAATGATAGCAGATTTAGGACGTCATCGAGAAGTTCAGGTTCGAGTACCGGCAAGGGCATTGCACAATTTTCACGTTCACAGCTCCAAAAACACTAATGACTTTACAAGTGGCTCCCGAACTAAAAGGTGGTGGGCGATAATTCGTCACCACCAAAACTTGGCGATTGAGTCCCCTAATCCCCAGTCGCCCTTTAAAAGGGAAAGTATATAAAGTATTTTTTCCTTCCTTCCAGTACGCCTTCGCGATATAATGGTAGCAAACTCGGCGCGCATTCGGGAGGTCCAGGTTCGAGTGCCGGCGAAGGCATGACACATTTTTCGCCTTTTCTGCTGTAAAATAATCCAATGACTCTACAATCTAGTAACCTGAAGTAGAAATTAGATCAAACGTGGTTACTAAATTACATACAATTACATAATGAGAAGCTGATTTCTTTTTAAATTAAAGGTTAATATGAGTAATAGTGTAATAATTAAAAAACACCAAAAAAGCTTTTAGCTCAGCTTGCTTTACAGAATAATAATTATAGTCGTATTATATAAAGTAATAATTATAAAAATAAAAAGAAACTATTTCAGTTCTGCCTGCTTATTATTAGTACCAGTAGTTTTCCTCTGCACCGTGGGTATAAACACTCATGTCCAAATTTAGCTTTACATACCAATTAATAATGATATTCCATGAAGTATACAGTCGATGTAATAAATTTTTGCAAGGAAGGTGCGAAAGACAAGCCTAACTATAATGAAATATATTTAATGAAAAGTGATCAAACGGTTTCTGATATGCAAATCAAGGTGCTACGTCATCTGAAGGTGAATCAAGCCCTTTGAGCAAAGTGAATGTATGAGTAAATTTCTGCAATGCTGTGTTTGATTTCAGTGTATGGTAATACAAAACTATTTGTTATAGCTTTGCTATGGAGAAATATCATTTGAAAGAATTTGAGAAATTTCTGCAGTTTATAAGAAAGGCAGACAATCACAGAAGCAGTGAGATGGGTGAGTATTTCAAGACAGATTGCCTTTGTCTTGTAGAAAAATTTAAGAACTCTGTAACTGTTGTAAATATGCCTGGATAGTGTTATAAACGACAAATCTCAACATCGATATCTGGTAATAACTGCCCTTTGTAACAGGAAGCATACCGCTCGGTAGTTACGTTCAGAGCTTGCAGCCGCCCCCAGAACTGTTATATCACGTCAAACTGTATACACGGTGCTTAATGAAAAAGACCTTTATGTCAGAAAGCCAAGGGTATGCGTTTTACTGTTTTCGCAATTAAATAAGGATCGTTTTAATTTGTGCAAAGAATATCAGAACCGGAGTAAACACCAGTGGTCCCATGCTTTCTTTACTGATGATTGTAGGTTTTGTTTAACATCCGATTCTACATCTGGAGAGTGGCAGGAGTGCGAAATCTTTCTTTGAAACTTTGTGGAACATTTGCATTAACCATTTCGGTAATGCAGATGTATGACCTGGTGAGGAATAATGATCAATTGACGTACGCCCCAACCCGTTTTCAACAACGGATTTATGACCTGCCAGATATATTGTAATGAGGTCTTAGAATATCGTTGGTGTATCTTCACACTGAATAAACCTCACTATTAAATTACTTGAAAGTGAAGACACTGAGCGAATAGCGAGGCCAGCAAAATCTCCTGGTCTTAACCTGATGCAAACTTATGCCACTAACGAAGGCAACTTAATGGCGACATCCCCTTCTTTGAGATGTAAGTGCTAATAAGACCACATGCTGGTTGAGTGGAACCATGTTCCCCAATCTCTGGTTAACAACATTAATGCCAGCATGAAACACGTCTTGATATGTGTGTACAAGTCAAGCGAGATCTCACTGCATATTAAATTCTCAAGCTTTAATTTTTCTGAGTTATTCCTTTTTTTCTGAACTCTTCTTATAATATATTATCACCACTTTTACTGTTTTAAAGTGCAGCTTTGTATCATATGCAGTGCTCTTAAACTTTTTCAATTGTATTTATGTCTTATGATGTTTTGTATGATTCCACACAAATTCATAAATTATACTTCACAGTGCGTTGTTGCGAATTATCTCACATGTATTACAGTAACATCAGAACAAGACCACGGAATTCATCGTGGCAAGAGCAGCAAGATTGCGTCTGTCGTTGGCAAGAGCCTTTAAGTACCATGCACGTGATAGAAACTCAGGAACTATGTACTATCACCACAGAGGTGACATAGAGTTCTGAATGGTGTCAATATAGAGTTTCTGAAGAATGAAAAGATAATTTTGAATGCGACTGTACATGCGTGTAAAATGCAGAAAAACAATAAACGGTTCCTTAAAGCTGAAGAACTTTCAGAAATTTTAACGTGTTGCCTTCTTCGGTCATAGTTAAACTGCCATTTGCAGTCAAAGAAGACAATAAAGTTTACTGCGTATTTTTTTTTTTTTTTTTTTTTTTTTTTTTTTGTCCAAAAAGGCTTTGTCCCTGAAGGACTATTGTTTTCACTTTGCGATTTTGCGTTGAATCACTATAAATGTCCGCTTCACTTTTCAAGCTGTTGCCAGCAAATGTTAGAGTCCTGCATTATATTTGAAGATATTAAATAATGATAAATCTGATAAATGTTATTATTTTTCGCATTGTTATAAAACAAACGGACTAAGCCATCGAATTCTGAATGACGTAATCCTCCTACGAATATGGGGCAGTGGAAGACCAATTTGAAATTGAAATTTGTTTTATATCGATTTCATATTTTGTAAAACTTTAACAATTTTTGAGTACAAACTCAAGGATTTCAAAGCGAGCAATGGCAACACTCTACGGGGGAAAACCCTTTTTATCTCGAGCGTGCAAAACTGTGTATCAAAAATTCTAAAGATAGGCTCATTTTAAAGTTATTTTGCGACATTGCTATTGAACTGAATTTTATGGTTTAAGTGCAAAGAACATGATATATAATAAATGAAGGTAACACACAAAATGTAAAAAAAACGCCCCTTTGGACGTAATTTAAAATCTGAAACGTTTCGTTTTTTTTTCCTCTACTAAATTTAGTTAACGTGTCTCCATCAATATGTGCATGTTGTTTATAAGGAGTACTAGAAAGATAAATAATCTTATATGTACGTTAAAAAAACTAATCCAGAGCAAGGTTTTTCAAACAAATCTGAACAGTTAAACAGCTAAAGAGAGACATTTTACAAATGGAGAATATAAGACAAATAGCAATTGTATTTAGAGAGCTAAATAACTCATAAGTTGTTCCCAATTTATGTCATTTGAAGATTATTAGGCTTAGGCTCAAACAAAAGGTAAGCATGGATATTTAACGCACTTGAAATCACTTAATGGAGATAAAGTTTTATGGAGAAAATTACATCTTTGTTTATTTTGGGGAACATTTTCGCACAAATCTACAACTTTGTGCGATTTGCTTAAAGTTCTGTATAAAAATTATTTCTGACATGCCAGGAATATAAATAAGGAAATGAATGGATATGCACATTGATAAAGATGGAACTGGGAAAGGTAGTTTTTTGTGTATAGAAACAAACAGCTAAATTGTAAGATTTTATGTATTACCTAAAACCTCGAGAGACGTTGTGTAACTTCCTGTTCTTCCTCCAGAATTTACAATGCAAGTGTAGTTTCCAGTATCATCTTCAGTTAGAGGATCAATCACTAGGGTAGAGAGATCCGAATATGATCGAATGTCGATATTGAGTCCTTTCGTTAGTTCTCTGCCATTTTTTAGCCATTTAAATTCCATTTTCTCGCCAGATGCCGGCGTGCATGTGGCACTTACTCTTTTACCGATCTCCGAATCAGAAGGAAATGAAAACTGTTGAACTTTTAAGGAGCCTTCGCCTAAATTATAAATAAGAAATGAAACATATCCACACAGTGCATCATAATCAAAATAATAATTTTAATAATTTGATTTAAATAATATACAAATAAGGAGACGAAACGTATAAAAATTTGTCTTTATTCGCTTCTGAAAGAGGATAAATAAGAGAGTTTTATGAAACAATTTTGAAGTTATATCTAAAAGAGTATTTGTGCATTTAGTAAGTCGTAAATATTCTCATTTTATTCTAAAAATTAAGGATATTTAGGATATCACTATCATTTTAGATGAAAATTTAATTCCCATTAGAATTTATATTTCAAAACAAAAATAGGTTACTTTATAATGCATTTCCCCCCCCCCTGCTTACCGTGTGCCTTTGTTGTATAATTGAAAAGAACGCCCAGCTAATCTCCGTAGGTTCGAAATTTGAATCCGAACGAGGTCATTATACATTTTTCATGACTTCTACTTTGAAGTAAATCTAATAGAGATACAATTTCGAGAGAAATAAAATTTCATTTGTAATTTTTTATGTTAATTTAAATCTTAGCGCATAGATCTCACATTTTAATTTACTGATATTGATGTATAATGCCCATACAAAATATTTCTTTGATTCACCATTAAAACCATTTTAAGCCAGTTTCAGTTTTTTTTGCAAAGCTACACAAATTAATTTATTTTTATTTCTATTTATTTATTTTTGCTAATGAGCTTTTTTATATTTCTGATGTTATTTAGTTTCATTAACTTAGAGCACCCTTTAGTGTTTAGTTCAGTACTACAAAAAATTAAATTATACAGTTAAAGATAATATAAAATCATGCTTGAAAAGGTTAAGATTTGTGGCATTTCATCTTTCTTCAGTTTTATAAAATTATCCTCAGAAGCGAAATATTCATAAATATCAGAATTAAGGATAACAGTAGATTTCGATTACAAACTATTTCTAAAACTGAATTGAAAATTCTAATCCTCTGTCACCTTAAAAAGCACTTTGTACACATCTTAAAACGCCATGTTTATCAAATTAATTGTCTGTACGTTTTTTCAGCCTTCATTATCCAGTTGTAAGTCGAAGGTAAGCTGTCTATGATTCAAGTATCTATATTTTCATTAAGTATGATAAGTTATTGATTATATTATTATTAAAACAATAGATTTTTTTATTTGAACATACAAAAACTTCTTAGACGCCGTAAATGTGCAAAACGGGGCTTATAAAAGTAAGTTAATTAAATATTATGTGCATTAATAATACAAACAAAAACAGAAACATAAAAAAAATTAATCAGAAACAAAATTTAAAGATATGCTGAATTTTCCAATGCTTTAGTCCAATGCTTATACTTTAGTACGCTTTGAAATGTTTTACTTCCCATTTGATAGTTTAATAACATTTTTGTGAATTACCTAATACTTTTAATTCACAAAATAGAAGTAAAATTTAATAAAAACCAAATTACAAAAAATATTGAAAAAATTCAGTAAATGACTCTCAAGAAGTATTGCCATTAAAGATGTATTTCTCTTATAACGTTTTCTATCTATCTTAATTATTTCCATAACCAAACAAATTTTTATTTAATTTTAGATTAAAAAAAAGTTTTTTTTTTCACTTTACATTTTCTATGCAGTTTTTGTTAATTAATATGAGTTTCAAGAAGTTATATAAAAGTTAACTTTAAAATACATTTTTGTTAAATAAGACTACATTTTTTAAATATTAAATTAATGACCCATAACTTATATTTTCTTCTTTCCAATTATTACGGATTATTACTCACTACGGATTTAAAATATTTAGAACACTGAAATTTAGTTTGATATCAAGAGTCTACGGAAAAATGTGCAACGTGCATTTGCTGTTAACAATTTAACAACAATTATTTTATGGTGTTATGTATGTTGTTTTATAAGACTTGAATGATTTTCTTAGCTTATTTAAACATAAATATTAAAATAATTTCGATTTCAAATGAAGTGAATGAAAGCCCCCCCCCACCCCCCCCCCCCCCCCCCCCCCCCCCCCCCCTTAAAAACTGAAGCATATCAATCATACTGAAATAAAAATTATAAAGTTTCATGTAATTAATAATAGTTTTAAGTACTAAATTTTAAAAAGCATTTTGAAATGATGTCTAAGTTTTAAAGCAGTTTTTGGAGTCTAATTATATGTAAGCCTAGTTTATTTCCAAGGACTGAATCAAATAAAATCGAAACTCCCTTTAACAGAATTAGTTTCATTTTAAACTATAATGTGTTAAGGAGACAGCATTTACGACTATATTGATTATTTTGACAGTATTTAACTTCAAGTGAAAAAAAGACAAAAAAAAAAAAAAAAAAAAAAAAAAAAAAAAAAAAAAAAAAAAAAAAAAAAACATTCATTTTATTGTAAATTTCGAAAAAGCATCATTTTACAGACTGAAAAACCAACTTAATGCTCACCTTAAAATTACAGACATAGATTTTAGGGAATGGACAGAAAGTTTACTTTTGTTATAAAACATTTAAGTAATGAATCTAATTTTCATTAAATCTCAATAATGTTACATTATTAACACGGTTTTCATTGAAATGTAAAGAAAAGATCCCAGCAACTTAAGGGAAATAAACCTGCCGTTCATTGTCCACAAAACTCAGTTAAGTCTTCTTAGTAATTTATTTAATTGGTTGTAAGATTTATCCAATATACATTTTTGATTAAATTAATTGTGCCTTTTACTCTGTTCCCAAACAATAAATCTGTTAAAAAGTACCGTTTTAAAACAAGTTGCCAGATATTTTAAGCTTTAATATCAGAGAGCATTAAATAACACTTTTAAGAAACATAAGAACAGATGGAAATTTTATTAAATTGCTTACAGAAAATACAAGACGTTCAGATATTGCAATATCTATATTATTAATTGATTGTAAAATGAACAAGTTATGACACAGAATATAATATCAAAACTATAAAAATCTGAAATGGAACTCACCTATTCCAAACTTTCCAATGGCGAGCAGCAGAAAATTTAGACATATCACCTTCCACAGAGGAAGAATATGCGCCATGCTTCAGTGTGACAGAAACTATAGATTTTTTGAAAAAAATATTGCCGTATTGGCTAATAAACAATTTTTTTCAGAAATTACTGATCACATGCAAAGCAATTTATAAAGTCACAAGAAGTTTCAAAACGCAGAAATAAAATAACGCATTATGGCTGGCGTTATTCACTTAACTGGGCTTCATCTACGGAACGAATGCTAGCGCCCTCACTGTTCCAGTTCATGAACTAAAATTTGCATTTAGAAATATATTAACTGTATAATATTAATATAACTCAACAATATTAAACACAAATGCATAGCAAATAAAATTTTACCAAAAGCTTGTATTTTGTTTTCACTTAGTGCTTATGTTATATTCGTATTTTAACAAATAACTTTGATCTCGCATATGAAAAAGCACACACACACAAGTATATATATATCTATATCACTCTGTTAAAGAACATAAATTTGGTTCGTTAGAAAACTGATTTATATTTCAAATAACTGGACATTTTTTATATCAGAAAACGCAGTAAAATTTTGTACGATAAATTCTCTTTTGTTTTTTATTTAATAATACAGGAGGTAAATACGCATTAAAATCAAGCGATAAAATATTCATAATTGTGCCAAGACCACGAATCTGACAAACTGAAAACAAATATGCGTTTTAACGGAATGACTGTGATAAACTAAACAGATTACTTAAGATATAAATGTAGATAATTTGGTCAATAAATACATGATAAGTATTCACAATAATATGAAGAGTACACAAATTGTGAAGAAAGTTCTAATACAAAAGTATTTTAATATGCATGGATATAAATGATCATGAATAATTGTAGTTGATAAAGTACAAAGTTTATTTTTTTTATCCACCTTTATGACTAGTTAGAAAGAATGACTTTACACCTCAGTTGGTCTTAAATATAAGCAGAAGCAATGTTATCCTTATATAAATAGATTTTATATAAATTATACCAAGAAATGTAATAACAAAGTAAACAACGCTTTGAAAAATAACAAGAGTCCAGTTTCAAATCGTAAGTAAAAATTGCTGCTTTTTTGTCCGTTGTAAGTCGACAAAAGCACTCTAAAGTCGGCAAAAGCAACGTCTTAAGTCTGCAATAAAATTTCCTACATCGCATTTAACATACATAAACAGGTGCTTTGAATTCTTAATTTAGGCAGATCTATTGAATTCTAAATTTTAGATAAAAAATCTTATCTTAAAATTATAAAAGCATCATATTTTAAAATCTTAAATTAAAAAACATTGAATCCTAAGCAGAATGGAACTCACACACCGTGCTTTATATGTTGCACGTAATACATTATGATACATATACATAGTTATTTATATAGAATATCTCTGACACAGGTTTTTTAAATGACTCTATTATGAATTTAAAACAATCTCGTCTTATTCTACAGTACTTGTATGAGACTAAAACCTTCGAAGTTAGATATCATTTACATACCTATTACTTTTACAATAATTGATTGAATCAGAGGACTACCGATTCCATTTGATACGTTACATTTGTACATCCCTTCGTCTTCTTTGGAAATGGCGTTTAAAAGTAAACTACCGTTGGGATGTGAATTTGATGTCACTGGAATGTATTCCTGACCCATACCTGAAAAGTATAGATTTGCTAAATCATTATAAATCACAACTAAATGAATGATTCCTTTTTTCTTAAGATAAAACTGTATTACTGTTTCTGAACTCGTAACATGAATAATTAGAAATATATGTGGTATTTCAAACTAGTTAAATAACTGTAAATAAAAATGTTTCAGGAAAACAAAATTAAAAATAGAAGCTATTTTAGTATTGAATCCAAACTGAAAATTTATCTCTCTCTCACACATATGAGATAAAAATAGGTATAAAGTACCAACTTTAGTTAACAATATTATCTTGACTTTTCATTTTAATTTGGTTATTTCTATTTCCTGTCCTAAAAAAAGTAACTGCTTAATAATAAAATTCTCTAAACTGCATTATTTTAAAATAAATTCTCCTCACATGTATCTCACATAACGCAAATGTTGCAGACACTTTTTCATATAATAATAGCTTTACCGAAATTTTTAGCAAGCAATAGGCATAAAGTCCCAAATAAATCATTTTGAACTGGGCTTGCAACCTGAACTCGTCGCATTTGATCTCAATTTTTAGCTAGATTGTTGTCGCTGATTTTTTTTTTTTTTTTTTTTTTTTTTTACCTACTGTAATATTCTAAAATTGTAATATTCGTTAAACTCTCTTAATTTAAAAGTTTAAATCAAGTATTAATAATTTAGAAATAGGAAAAGTCATAAACCTATCAGGTATTTCTCCCGCATTCTTAGCGTGCCTTCATGGTGTGGTGGTCTGCACGTTGGGCGCGTATTCCAGAGGTCGGCGGTTCGATTTCCGGCGAAGGCGTTGCTCATTTTTCATTTTGCCTGCTTCCAAAAATACCTAATATCTCTACAAACCTAATGATTTATTTTGTGAATACTGAATTTTATTTTATTATGCTCTATCAGCAAATACACGCTTGATTTTAAAATGAATTTTAGTTAAATAATTTTCATTTATTAGTGACTTTAAAATGAACTCTAACTATTATTCAATAAATGTCTTTACTGAGTTTTTAGAAAAGTGAAAATTCTCACCAATTGTTTTATACCATGTGACAGTAGGCAAAGGTTTTCCAAAACCTTGGCAGGTTAATGCGACGTTATCACCACTAGTGGCATCAACGTCGTTTGGTACAGTCTTCCATACTGGTGGAACTGATAAAAGAAATTTAAATATGTAATACCAATAAATATATTTATTACACATTACTGAATTTTGAATACTAATTTATGAAACTAATTAAATTCATTATAAAATTCAGAACTAAAACTGCGCAATATCATTCTTCATCAGTTATAAAATTGAGTTATTAAAATTCTCCAGAGATATCTAAAGGTAGAACCAGAAGTTGTAAATTAATAGTATTTTGGTGTTCTCAATTACGTTTCAGAACTAATCTAACCTGTGTAAAAACAGGCAATAACAGGTAACTTTATTTTCATAAAATTAAATGAGAAAATCGTAGATATATAAATTAATTAACTAAAATTTTTTTTCCTAACGCCATCTAGATTTTTTTAGCTTTTAAATGAACATTACTAGAGCTCTAAGCATATAATAATTATCTATAAATATTTTAATAATAGATAAATATATATTTTATATATCCAAATAAACCATCATTTCTTAACCCTTAGGAGCTTGCGATATTAAGCAATTCTTTTTCCCAAATAGACGCGATATCTGCTACTCGTAAATTTGTAATGTGAACTTATTCGATTTCGCCCACTGTAGTACGTAACTAGAATGCCAACTGAGTTCGTTCATGACTATCAAAGGGTTAATGAAGTTGTATGCATAAAATCTAAGTTAATATGGTAATGTCAAAATACATTTCCGACGTACAATAATTCCCTAGAATTTATACGTCTTCAGAATATATGTAATAAGTCTCAAACGGTATACGCAGATAGATGAAGAAGTTTTTGGTCTCACATAAAAAACTTCTTTGTCAATGCATTCATTTTTATGATATGTAGTGGCAATACTAAATGAATAATTTTGAACGTCAAGTTAGAAAAATCGTCTGCCTACTTTAAACACTGTGCCGCCCAGTATAGCGGTTAGGGAAGCCGACTACGATACCAAAGGGCCCGGATTCGAATTTCAGAGAAGACATGATTGTATTTGCCCGTCTCCTTATAGGAGGTAAAGGTAGTCCACCTATTAGGTGATTCCATAATAAAGTGACCACCGTTTCTGGCCTTAGTAGTGGTCAACGTCTGTGGATGGTTTGGGCCTGCCATTGAAAGAAAAACCTTATTGACTGTTTCATAAATGAAATGATGTTTTGGTTTGTACCAAATATTTAAAACCGAGTACAGTTCTATGATTAAAATTTTGACTAAAGTTGGTTTTAATCCTAAAAAAATACAGTGCTTAGACCATGTGTATGATGAATTGTCTCTTTCTTATTCTACAGTGATAGAATGGACAAAACTATTTCTCATGGTCCAAGATGCGTAGATGATTCTTGTGATGTCGGCCATTGGAGGTATTGACATCAGAAGATACTATTTTAGTCCAGATGAAAGTTCTGAAAGATTTTCGGATTAAAAGTCAAGGAAATAACAGCAAAGATTAGACCTATCTAAAACAACTATTTTGTCCATTCTATATGAATATCTTCAAGTGAAGAAAATCTCTGCAATATGCTTCTCCGACTTCTTTCAGAAATTCAAAACAGCAATGTGGGTTTAAGGAGTTTGATGTCACTACTCTTAGAGCACGTATTTAGCTCTACGTGATTATTATATGTTCTCTAACCTAAAATTTGACATTCGTGGAAAAACGTTTAAAGACAAGGATGACGGGAAAAGAGGCTAATATAATATAATATTTGAGGATATAATGTATGATATAATATATAATATTTGAGGATAAACTGAAACAAAAATGTATTGAGGTACAAGAAAAATATACTGAAAAATAAACTATAAAAACGATCTCTATTTCTTTGAGAAGTATATCAGCCGGAAATTTTTGGATATGCTTATTATGTATAAATTCGAAATTTGAAAACGCAGGCAATCTGTGTTAGAGAAAAGAAATGTGTAACGTATATCTCAGGATGTCATTTTTATGACTTATGGGATCAAAACGTCAAGTCATAAATGTAAAAAAAATTCTTTCACTTTTTCCTAACGTTTTAGAATTTATGATAGGAAGATATATTTATTAGTCTTTTTAATTAATTCATTTTAAAGAAGATATAAAAACTGTTAAATTGTTGCTTGCTGAAAACAATTTATGTGAGTGATATTACAAATAACCAAGAATAAAATTATTATTTTAGCCTAGTATTTTAACAGGCTGTTATATTAAACAGGAACGAAATGTTAAAAATAAATAAAGTGCTGAAACTAAAAGAAAATGAATTTCATACATAAGATCCGGCATTTGTAATACCCCGAAGTTACACGATACATAAGACCAACGAAAAGCTCTAAGTTGGGGTTTAACGTGCCCCTAATATAGTGTTCAGACAAAAAATTACAAAAGTATTAAAATAGATGTGGGAAATACGGGGTCATTTCGATGCTAAAGGCTTCATAAAATTTAACAAAAACGTCTGTTCACTCAATTCATAGTTACAAAGCACAAAAAAGAAGAAATAAAGACTATAACTCATGGTTACAAAGCACAAAAAAGAAGAAATAAAGACTATAACTCATGGTTACAAAGCACTAAAAAGAAGAAATAAAGACTATCAAAATAGGTTTTTTTTTTTTTTTTTTTTTTTTTTTTTTGTTTTTTCT